TGTAGGCAACAAAACTACTTAGTTAGATGTAGGCAACAAAACTACTTGGTTAGGTTTAGTTAAGAAAACTACTTAGTTAGATGTAGGCAACAAAACTACTTGGTAAACGTCTAGGAAAAATACACACAGCCTACAGCAGTAAACATGTACACATTCAGTATCTAATGTTTGCCCGGGTCGGGTGCAAATAGCATTGTTGGCTACGGACACCTGGGTGCTTGTCTCTGCCATGTTATCCGACCTGGATGCAAATAGTATTGTTGGCTTCTGACACACAGGTGCTAATAGCATCTCGCATAAATAATTAGCATAAAGAGTACAGCTAGCATGGCTCTTTCCAAAGCTCAAAAGTACACCAACCAAGACCTATAACACTCACTAATCGAAACGTGTCTTGTGTAACTCTGCCTAAAACCACAAGTTGGCGTTTTGACATTTCTGTTGAAAGAAACGACACACAACATGTCAATTACTGAGTTTTAGAGGGCTATTTCTTAACTTTAAACAAAGCCAGAATAACTGCTTTATTCTTTTTCCAAAACCTCCTACCTCCCTGGTATAGCTCCAGGTTTAAAAACAACAAAAAAAAAATCCATGATCTATGGGACAGCCAGGGTATACATTAGGAAGCAGGAATAGCGATAACTCACCAAGCTGATGAAAATGAGAATGAGCTGTATGATGTCTGTGTAGGCCACAGAGTAGAGACCTCCCATCAGGGTGTAGGTGATGGCCACAGCAGCTGAAATCCAGATGCTCACAGTGTAGGACAAATTCAGGATCACACTCATAGTTACACCTGTAATACACACACACACACACACACACACACGTGTTTTACAACCACTGTGTACATGCACTCATCTACACATTTAAGTTACCCGTGAGGATGTGAAACCCTAATGTTGACCATCACAGCGATGTTCCACTAAAACACCAAAGCTCTCAATGTTTCGCTAACCTTGACTTGTCACCTAAAATGATTTTTCACAAGAAGTAAAGTAAGCTATCACTTTATAATAATAATAATAATAATAATAATAATAATAATAATAATCTATACATTTTCCTCATCAATTTAGGTGGAAGGAAGTTAAAACAAAGAACACTTGAGGTACATTACTATGCTGCTTGAGGTTGAGTGTAAACATGGAATTATTCTTGTACTCTCCAGGGTTTTGTATGATGGGTGAGACAGAATTTGACTATCTAATCAGAAGCTAAATAGTTTGCCAAGGGCAGCTTTGCTTTGAACTTCTGTCCTTTTTCAGTAGTTACATTACTAAATCACACATTCACACCCTCCAAGTCTTTTAAATGCTGTAGTTTCTCCATCAATTGACAGTGAATGCACCACTTTGTTTCTTGTAACAGAAACTTGTTTACACATTTACTTGCTTTTTTGCTGATGGTTTTATTTACGACTGTTACAACCGTCATAACAATAGGAAAAACACCAAAGTACAATAGAACAGAGGGCAGCAGAAGCAAGAGATAAATGACCCTAAATAACAATGAATGATGTGATGTTGGTTTTAAATATTCAATAGCAATTTATTGGAATATTAATGTTTTTACATAAACACATAACAAGAACATTTGTTTTCGTCAAATGTGCCATAAATGTGTCAGAAAAGTGACACGAGAATAAATCAAATGCAGAAGTCAATCGTATTATCCTTATCTTAGCATTACAACAACATCTCGGACCACTCCTGTGGTTACAGGTGTGAGTTCTGGTCTCCTTTGATAAGAGTTATTTCAGACCAGCCATACAATTAGATAAAGGCTTGTGTTTCACTCAACACCTCAGCAAAGAGCTGCGATCAACAGCTGCTCCGCTGCCAGGGTCATCGCACGAGTATCAAATGCATCACACCCACACATGGAGGCAGTCTTACCTAATCCTATGAGTGTTCCCGTTACCCACATAATCTCTGATATGAGCGAAGCCAGACACAGAGCGGCCGTCGGTACTTTTCCATATTTGATCTGGAAAGGATCCATCATGGTCACATATTTATTGTTTCTCATCGGCTCGGCGAAGAACAGGCCACCTCAAGGATGAAAACAAAGAAAGATTGTCAGACAGTTATTTGTCATTTGAATGTATGATAAGCATTATGGTCAACATTAAGCTTTTTAATTAGAAAATGAATTTGTTTTTATTCACCAGATTTCTAACATGTCATTTAAATATTCCTACTATTCACATTAAATTTCCCCTGGTGTAGTTTCACCCTTTTCAACAGGAAGCCGTTATGCAGAAGTGGTAAGCAACTTAGATGCTGATGCTTCTTGTCTCGTCATCGAGCTAGATGGTAGAGGACATCTAGCTGATGATTCAGTAAATATGTGATTTTCTGTTTGAAATTGTGCCTCTGCTTTTTTCCTCTTAATGTGAATGTTTTATTCCATAAAGCACAAAGCAAATCTGGCTAATATGAATATGCAATCACATTAAACTGTCACTGTAATATGTATCCACGTTGACTTCAGCGTACATTCATCAGGGTTTAAAGAGGATAAATCTCTCTCTTCTCATGTGACGTTCATGTGGAAGAGGAATGCTGTTTTTTCTCTGCTAATCTCCTGACATAAGGGCAGCTGTGTTTCCATTGATCAAAAGTGTTGTTATTGTACACTGTACTTTGTGATGCATTACAGGAGATTATGCGTGATGAAGTGCTATAAGTAACCATTTTTCAGAAAACTAATTTCTCTTAACCGGCTTCTACTTTAGTAGAGTGATTTCCCACATTGCCCAGCAGACATGCGAGTAGTTTCCAGAGGAAGGGAATCCATACACTGTAAACATTAAGTAGCAATAGCAATAAAATTACAAAGATAACGGTGCCTGAATGCTATCATATAGTACAACCAAAAGGTTACATGTACACATCAGCTTCAGCTGTACTTTAAGTTAAAGAAAAGTTTAGCCAAGTCTGACGGTGTAGAGCTGAGCCTGACAAGCCCAGTCTGAGATGTCCTACATCGGCTATACAGTAAAGAATCTAAGCCGTTATGTTGTTGGTCAATGCCTTCAAAAACCACTCATGAGTGTTCTGTGATCTGCCGCCTCTATTATTTAGGTTACATTTGCAACTGAAACTACTTGCTTGAGGTTAAGAAAAGACTGGCGTCAAGGTGTTTCTGTGTATATTTTCTTGGTCAAATTTGTTGTTTATTTTTACTTAAACTTTATTACAATCGTCATATGTACAATTTAACCTCTGCATTTAACCCATCTTTAGCATTTAGGAGCAGTGGGCTGCTGTAAAGCACTCGAGGTGCAACTTGGGGTTCAATGTCTTGCTCAAGGACGCTTCGACATGCAGACAGTAGTAGCCGGGGATCGACACCGCCAACCTTTTGGTTCAACAAGGCCACTGGGCCACACTGGGTCTCTACCTGTGGTCCCACATATCACTTTTATTTATTTGCCCACGGTCGCTGTTTGCCCTTGTGGCAAACTTGAGAGGCTGCTCTGCATAGAGACGCAAAATTCTTTCTAATTTACAAGTGCAGGTAATGCTTATGTTCCATATTATGTCGTTGTCGTATAACAAGCAAGCGTCCTCATTTCAGGTGTGAAGTTTCATGCACAAATATGAGGGAAGATATCATACTTTTGTCGCATTGTGTCATAAAATTGTATCTTTTTTCTCAGTTATAATCAATATTTTTAGCAAATAGTGCAACATTTCGGCAGGAGTCTCCTTCAGACTGTGAGTGAGTGAAGTCAACAGTGTGAAGAATATTCAGGGAACTGTTTTGGGGTTTCTTTAGACTCAGGCTGGACCCTCATTTGAAATCAAAGGGGTCCTCATTAGAGACCTGTCCCCGCCTTTGCTTCTGAGACGGGACATTATTCACATGTCCACATGAGGTCCACTTGTCTGGAAAACGTAAACATAGGTTGTTTTTAAAAAGGTCCAGTGTGTAAGATGTGAGTGGATGGGCATTGAGTTGGTTAAAAACACGGACTGTATAAAACAGGGACACAGTCTCCATGATCACAGCACCCACCTGTCACTCAAAGCGTCCATGATCTTAATTATGCCTAACTTTAAGCCTGAATATAATTTAAACAGATGAGTTGTTATTTCTGCTGTAAAGTTGAGCATTTTAATATGGAGGTCTATGGGGATTGACTCGCTTTTGGATCAAGCCTCAAGTGGCCATTTGAGGAACTGCATTTGATGGCACTTTCGCGTTGGCTTTGTATCTCAGCATCAGTTGGCCTCTTCAGGAAACAGTTGGAAAAGGAGTGGCATATCACTCCAGGGATCGGTATGTGCCACATAACACAGTGGCATACCACTCCGGGGATCAGTAGATACCGCTGAAGAACAGTGGCATGCCATTTGCCACTTTACGGTCTTACCGCTACCCGATACCGTTAACAAGTGAAACCTCACCGATGACGAAGCACATCGTCGCTGCGATAGGCATCACGGCCCAGATCAGTCCCATGGAGGGGTTGTACACTGCCTCCGCTGTGCCCACGATGAATCCACCTCCAACCCACGTAGCTGTCCACACAAAACACAAGACACTTTCACATACGGACAGAGGACAGAGGACAGAGGCAGGAAGGTTAGCTGCTGCTCCTGTCAAACTCTATCATCATGCCTGTAACATGAGAGCCTACTGAGCCCCTTACTGGATGCAAGGTGATATTTCTATCATGTGCGAGATACAAAATATCACATTTCAGGACTTAAGGTGTAGGAACCAGCCTGTCTACTGCAACTTTAATAAGAGATTCAATTTAAATAGGAATTTGTTGTAAATTTAATGACCAATTACTTTAAAACAGCCATGTCCTGAAAGTGAGCTGAGACATGTGATTTGGGCTGAGCGTCATTATCAAACATGCATATGAAGCAAAACGTCATACTGATTCATTTCCTCCTGTATCTTACATGGACTCCGTTTATTATAAACTACATTAACTTCCTGTTTCTTTTAAACCGTTATTGTCTCGCCATCAGTTATTACAGCCAAAGGATTCGTAATACATATAAAGGTTGCGTGTGCGTATTTTCCATTGATTTTTTTTTTTTTTTTTTTATAATACGACATTTCAGGACGTTACAGATACATCGATTACATAATAACCAATTATGCGCAAAACTGTTGAAATAAGACCAGAGTCAGATCATCTTTTCAGAACACGCATAAAGAGCAAGATGACTTCCTGTTCTCGCCCGTTCATGTGCCGCATTTACTCGCCTGTCATGGTGAAGATGCCGACAACCAGGTTGATGCCCCGGTTTCCCAGCAGAGCCATCTCGGTCGTATCCCCGTGGCCCTTCTTGGCTTCCCTTTTGGACTTGAATGAAGCCCAGATGCCGATGCCGAGGACCAGCAGGTAAAAGAACACCATAACGGCCACGCCGGGGATGTTGAGGGCCATGATCAGGCTGCAGGATACCGACTGGAGGACCGCGCGTCTGCCGGGCAGCCTGAATGATACAACACATCCCTCACTGCCGGCGCACGAGCAGACTCGCAGAGGAAATGCTCCCCGGCCTTGTGGAGACGGCTGGAACTACACATCCGCAGCAGACGACCGTCAAGGTGAAACACATGCAGCACGCCCGCATATAATTTATCTAACTGTGTAATATATATAAAGCACATAATCTATGTTTGTTCTATGTGGGTATCAGGGCCCGACGCGTCTTCCAACAACCTCTGTTTGTGTATGTGGGTATGCCCTTTGTATATGTTGACAACCGTTATCTGTCCAGTGCTTTTTATTTTTTTGTTGCGAGTTAGACGGTAACAATGCCCGTGGCATCCACCATGCTGATACTCAGTCACACCCTCTTCACTTTCAATCTGAAACAAGAGAGACCTTGTGACTTCCTCACATTTTATTCACAGTTTTGAAATAGGCACGCTGAATTCTCTCTTTTGTTGTTTTTATTCTTACATTCTAAATCTATTTATGCCACATACACAAAAGACATATTTTTGGAAAGTCAGTTGATGCTCGTGTTGGTTGTGAGCGTTGCCAGATCAGATGTTCAGATCGCAGCCCAATCACAATTTAAAACCAGACCTGTTAAAAAAAAAGAAGCAAAAAAAAAAATCCTTAAATCATAACCTTGCCAGAAACCCTTTAACCATTAATGCAATAGAAAACACACAAGTATACAAAGCTTCATATCTGCATCAAATAACCAAAGATAAAATGAATGAAAGTCAACACTGATGACGTCAAGGTAAGTAGCTCCACCCTCATCCCGAATGATGATTTACATCAACTCATGTCAATGAAATATCTCTCAATTTAAATGAGGTAATCATTTTACATCTGTTTTAGATAATAAAATGCTTGTTTAATAATATTGTCTTTGTTGTTTCCCTTGTTGATAGTTCCTACCTTGTTAGAAATTATCAAGAACAAAGCACATTAAGAACTTTAGAATAATAGACAATGTAAAACAATAGGCCTGTATTTCAACCCCTGAGCATAACTTGAAAATATACATGAACTTGAAGCTGTTATATTTATTGTGCCCTTAAGGTCTTAATACAATGAGAAAATACACATTTTTCATTTGTCAAGTATTCAATTCACAGTGGTATACAGAAATTGGCTTTACCATATGGTTATTTGCTACCAACCTCACAGGTAGCAGTAGCTATAAAAATAGAAATATGACTGATAATAATATTAAATGTAGCAGTGGGGGTCGAGCATAAAGGGGCATTTATCTTAACTCAACGTCCGCTGCCTTTTTCTGGAGCTTTAAACTGCATGTAATGGTCTGAATCAGCATATGGACACGGGTTAGTTAGTGTCCCTCTATATGGAGAGACACCTGGTACATATACATTCTATATGGACAAGCTCAGTCCACTAATGCAGTGCGGTTGAGAGCTTTGGAAAAAGCGGATAACAAATGTTCTTATTTTTGTCAAAGCATTATATTTAATATATTTTAAGTTGGACTCATAAATCTCTTTTTCTTTTTAAACAAAATAACCCACCATGGTTATATAAGAAGAAGCAAAGATAAACACATACGCCTACACACTAAGAAAGAAGATCTGTAAAAGATGAGAAAGAAATGAAAGGGCCACAAAAAAATATGTGAACATGAGTGAAAAATTTGAAATACACGAGTGGCGTGAAAGAAAAATGGAGAAAAGTAAGAATATGTCCTTTTGTCTCCCATTGATTTTGGCCGTTAATAAATGATAATCTTTGGCTAACATGTCTGCTATTTAACTACATAACAGCTTTCATCACTGTCAAGTGAAAACCATGAAGGGTTAGTTTAATGCTCTCTTATGTGTTGATACATTTCTAGTACCTCTCAGAAAACCCAGACTGTATTGTCTGTCCCCCAACTCAAAAACATGGCTTGCATTGCAACGTATGAGGGCTTCTGTTTGTCACAGTATGGAGAAACTGATGTGACCCCCTAGCTCAGCGAATGAGAGGGCTGCCACTTCGACTGCAGATAAATCTACTGTGTTAACAGTACAGCAAACTGTAAGCACAGAAGGTTAGCGGCACATCATTTTGAGAAATTGTGTTATTGATAACTGTGGGTTTTAAGTGAAAGTAGAATCAGGCCCTGCATATAAGAAAAAGATATCGGCTAACATAAGAAATATAAACACAAGATGAGCATAAACAAAGAATCTGCAGCATTCCTTTCGTCGGCAGGTTATCGAGGCCGCACCACCGCTAGTATCATGCTGTTTTTCCCATGATGCAAAGCAAAGGAGGCGCTGGTAATGGCGACATGCTGCAGCAGTTGTGCAGTGCGCTATTTTTTTTTACCTACTTGAGTTGTTTTCTCGCCACTACTAATCTATTTTCTAAACTGATCTGCGTGTTACAGAATCAACAATGACCCGCCTCCGTTTGACGGGCTTTTTGTGCGGGCTCTCTGAGTACGGGGAGCCTCTCCAGTGTGGCCGCGAGTTCCCCCTGCTGTTGCTCAACAAAGGGGATGTGACTTGGTAGAGGGAACTACAGAAACTAGCTAAAAAAGGAACACTTAGAGAACATGCTCAGTACTGGTAATTCACACCATGAATGGGAGGGTGTGAAGTCCATGATGGGGATGCAGTGTCTAATTTCTCATAATGGAGAAGCCAGCCCTTGACTTTTCTAATGAGCTGGACATATTTCATAATCAGTTGAATGTCCATGATGTTAGCGAAGAGCAGTCACTTTTCAACAACACTTTTTGTTTTCTTTTTCAAAAGGAAAAGAAAAGTCCCGGCCGAGATAATCCTTTATTCGTCCCGCAGTCAGGACATTTTACAGGATTACAGCAACATAGTGGATAGTGCAAACAACAGACAGAGTAAAAACAACAATGTATTATAAATAAGTAATAAACAGTAAAGAATATTAACTAAGTAATAAACAGTAAAGAATATTAACTAAGTAAAACAAGTAAACGTCCACAATAACTAAAATATAACTAAAAATATTATATATACAGACAGAATAATTGTTGTATTGCACATATTTTTGTGTTGTGTGGTCTACTGGGACCCAGCAAGTCTGAACGGTAACGGAACATAACTTAAACTTTAACGGAGGGAAATGAAGACGCTGTCGACATCTGAACGCTGACTGGCCAAGACTCGACACGTCAAAGATGTTCTATTGCGAAGATCACGACATCACCTTTTCTCCTTGTCTCACTCCAATCTGAGAAACGCTGGCTGGCCAGTTGACCCCCCCCCCCCCCCAAAAAAAAAGCTCTACGGATCTACACGATGATATATTTTGATTCGACAAGTTTGCAGGTATGAATACAGTTCTTGAAATAAAAAAATTCTGCATTTCCCCCTGCGCCCCACCTGCAATACCGCCGCGCCCCACTAGAGGGGCGCGCCCCACAGTTTGAGAACCACTGAGCTAGCAGATGTATTTTGTTTCATCTTCACTTTGTCAATCCAGCTCTCTATGGTTCCTCGTCTTTGGAAGGATTCCATGATTGTGGATCTTTGGATCTTTTTTCCCCTCTACTGGATCACGCAGGTGTGCACCCTCTTACCTCTTTCTTTGGTCTTGCATGCCAAAACCAATATGTCAGGTATTACGTTATCATTCCTGCAATGCTGACTCTAATCCCGCTGCAAAATTGCAGGCACAACTGTGAATGTTAGGACTTTAAAGAAGGCCCAGTCAATCCTGGCTGGTCCTAGCCACCCTCTGTCAATGGAGGTCAAGTTGCTTCCATCTGGCCGCAGATACAATCTGCCATGATGCAGGACCGATAGACTTAAGAACTTATCTGTCCCTGCTGCCATTGGCCTAAATAACTCAATGTGAACTTTAAAATGTATTCGTTGCACATTCTTTGTTTGATTCTTATGTGTTTGGCTTAACAACAAATTGGCCCTCAGGGATAGTAAAGATCATCCCTGGGCCTTTTCACAGAAAGAAGACACAGTATCTCTGAGCACTCTGCTGGTCACAGGCCAACTGCAAGGTCTGAACACATCATCTGTAAAGACAGACTGAAAAGAGCCGAGGGGGGGGGGCTCAACATGTTTGAAAAGAGCCGAGGGGGGGCTCAACATGTTTCAAAAGAGCTGTATTTAAAATGCATTAATATAGCAGCAAACAGCTATTATCTTTGTAAAGATATAGTGGAGAAATGTCCAGCTGAGTAGAGAGTGAAGTCGCTCTCCCTCTGTGTGTGTTGTTATCCGAGCTTATCCTTGCTTTATTCACAAGTCGCTCGTGCATTTGAGCGTGCCCCACTGGCTAGCTCACGCCCCGCCGCTCTGCACTGTGCTCATTTGGTAGTTACAGCTGATAATGCCGTCCTGACAGAGAACGTTGTAGCTGAAGACAAAACCAGCTGACTCGCTGCTGACATGTTGAGAGCCGTTGAGAGGCAATCGAGATGCTCCCAATCTCGGATCTTGCACCTTTTAACGTTCCCCTACAGCTCGGCAAGGGAAGGACGAAGCAGAAGGAGAAAGCTTTGAGGCGTTTCTCCATGTCAGAGGACCTGAGTGCCACAATTTATCTACCGCAGCATGAGGCCGGTCAGAGCACGTTGACAGTTTGAGTTGATTTATATTTATTATTCATAGTCCCTACACCAGGATTCCACCGGCACATTAGACTTATGTTAGACTTTCATTCAATATAAGTTATCAGAAAGTCAAATCATGCACTTGTTGTATTGTTCACAGCTGCATAAAACTTGCTGTGAAATTAATGTTTTTTCATGAAACCTTCTTTGAGGATTTTCTTTTGGATTGATTTTGAAATCTGACATATTGTTTTCATCCTGGCTTTAATCTCATAATTAGAACTATTTTATGTGGTCCTGACTGTTAGTCATAGAGATTCATTGCTAGTCATATATTTGCAGACACTGTGTATATAGCCTGCTAATGCCTGTTTGTCTTCCGTTGTTTATGAGGACGCTCCTCGCGTGCCAGTGGCACTGAAATGCTCATGTGACTGAACGACACTGCCAACACGACAAACAGCTGTGAATTTATTACTCTCCGGTGATAAATTCAGCCTGTGGGGCCGACTGTTTTGTTATTCTGTAACTGTGCCAGCACAGGAAGCGACGTTCAGCCATTCACTTGTCAAACACTGTCGCCAACACCTTCACTACTTGTGCGAGTAACAAGTGGGACGCCTCAGTATCACATTCTTCAGATTACAAAGTACTTTAGATTACAGACCTGCGTCCCAGTGGCACAGACGGTTACAAATGTTTCCCTACTTTTCTTTCTGTAGTCATTTGGGAAATATTTCAGGTGTGGTTAAAATAAAACCTAAAGGTGCTCTATGGAGTTTTCTTGTAATAAAACAAAAAAGTTGTATTTACATTCAGCGTCTCACCAAAACACACTGTGTGTGTCCTTGAGGTCTAACACACGCATCAAATACATTTCCTTCTTCATAAAACATTTGGAAAAGCTGATAAATATATAAATACATCATTATATTCTGAATAATTTACATCCATGTGTTGCAGACTTCGTCACTGCCTTTGCGGGCTCATTACCACTTCTCCTTGCATCTTAAAGTGCTTTTATTTTCATTACATCTTTTTACAGGCATGTGATGAAAAGAACCGCATACAGTGACTCCAGGGCCGTAGTGCAGCAGACATACATTTAAAGAGCTTGTTAAAAGAACTTGCAGCAATATGTCTGTCTGTGTGTGTAAACACGCATATGTGTGTATTATGTGTGACAGAGAAGGATTTAGGCCGACAGCGAGTCGGCCTTTTGGTGATGCAATTTCTGTATTTACTCTGGGTTTATAAGGATTATATGACTTGTATTTGGTGCCTTAACAGTCATAAAATGAAACCCCAATCAGAAGTGATTGTATGCAAATTAAGCGTGGCTGATGTTTGTGCAGGTTGGTTGGGGCAATAGTTGAGTCACGATGGTGCTCGGGGGAGGGCCTTGAAAAAGTCTTGGCAGCGGGGCTCCTTGGCACTTTAACGGGACTATTCATCTCAAGTTACCTGTAGTGCTATTTATCAATATAGATTGTTTTGGTGCGAGTTGCCTAGTTTTGGTGATATCTGCCGTATGATGTCCGTTTTCTCTCAAATAGAAATGGTATGGTGTCATGTGGAAACAGAGAGACATGTCACCCTCAACAATTTCATGTACAGTTTTGGATTAATTTAGGTGTATAGCCCAAAATCACAAATTTGCCTCAGAGGGTTTTACAATCTGTACAGCATATAAACTTGAACATGATATTTATGCTATTATAGCACATATTATGACACCTGCACAATGGAGAATTCAGTAGTTAATAAAGTAATCCAGCAATTTAGTATTGCATATCCATCAAGTTGGAGGACTCTTTTAGCCCTCAAGCTAAAAACAAAGAAGAAGCTGAATCCTATATTTCCCACAGTGCAACTCAATAGTGTTTTTCTTAGACACACCCCCCATGGCTTTTATTCTCCGTGCTTCCTGTCTGTAATGCAGCCTTTCTGCTAAAGCTCAAGTGAGATAACCCAGATGACATCATCAGACAACAGTTGCACAGTGGCACTCCTTAAATTGATCGTTGTGTAAAATTGCCAGAGTGCCCCTTTTGTCCGGTTGAGCCACACAAATATACAAGAATACATTTAAGATAAAGATTGTTGCAATATATTGACACCAGTTTTTCATGCAAATATTCTCTCCGTGCATTACCATGAAGACACAGGGTGACCCATTGAAACCAATGGACAATATTCAGCACATCCAGGCCTCATTCAAAGCAGCCGGCTGAGCTCTTTAGAGATAAGGACGCTCAGCTCTGCAATAAATAGCTTCCGAGAACACCTGAAGCAAACACACACAAACCAGGACCAATACATTGATATTCAGACAGACGAGTTGTCTCACTGTCTGAGTGGGAATTGAGATATTTCAACAAGATTCAACGCTCATTTGAAATCATTTCAAGATTTTTCAGCAGTTAAGTCTTTAAAAACAAGAAAGACTGAGGGGACGTTCATGGATGAAAGATGACATCATTTGTTGCAGGTAATATAATGATTCAAAATTATTATCGTGCTTTGGAAGCTAAAAAGAATGGGGCTCTTGAACAGGAGACACCACAAAACCTGAACTATTAATGCTACATTTTTATTTTTCAAACATGTAAATTAGGAGAGAAAGGAAGATGGAGAAATTGGCATTAGCAGATATGGATGTTTAAATGAATATTAAACACGCAATAGTTCGTTTATTTGACAAAAATGTATGGTAGGGTTGACTCAACTGTTGAAAATCCTCACCTGCTCTTTCTAGCCACTTTTAGCTCATAGTTTAGTTATTACGGCACACTTACTGTATGATTCAGTCTAATTGCTCTCATCAACCCTGTTTGCAGCAGCAGCTGGCAGCTGTTTTAATCAAACAAGTGCTAGTAAACCCACTGTGCGCTCCCTGCTTAGCAACCAACATCAAACAGACACAGTTAGTGACTTGCTGGTGATGATGAAAGTGGAACATTTAGGAGCTAAAAATCCAGAAAGAATTGGAGATCAAACCAGAAGAAAAATAACTGTGAGTATTGGATAAACGTTAGTCAGGTGGACACAAACCTCACTTCAAATGTATTACATGTATAAATAAACAGCTGTTTGCTAACATGTTCACAGTAATAACTTTGTAAAATGTCAGGGAGGTACTTCTGTCAGCTTGTTTTCACATGTATCTGCCCCCTACTGGCCAAGAACTGATTACTGCTGCTTTAAAGTCATACTGCAACCAGAAGCTTCAATTTTCATAGAACAAAAAAATATAAAAAAAAACATTTCACTTCCCCGATACCCATTTGTACACTCTGTATGTTTCAGTGTTGTCTGACTACAGCACTTCTGTGTTTTCTCCTTGAAGCTCAGTCAGCTTTTGTTGACTTATTTATTTTATATATTTGTACCTGACCATGTACATTGTTATATGAACTGGACTCGGCTGTCTTTTGTGCAAAACAAAAATACAAAAAAATGATCTTTGATAAAGATTTCACCATTATGTCACAAACAACTGTTCAGTATTTATTTTGTTCTTACAAAGGACTGATTTTGGTCTTTTGTTTTGACTGAAACTAGACTGAGTCTGCATCCTCAACATCAGCTGGGCAACACTCGGCATGTCAACGCTAATCTGAACAGCTGAACACATAAATATCTACAGTGTGGTCTCTTATGGCTGACAGCAATACAGTGACAGCCACTGTCCCCGTCCGCATCAATGTCACTGGCAACCTCACTGGCAACCTCTCTGGCAACGCTACCATACCAGCCGCTCAAGTGATTAACTGGCTGACGATAAGCATCGGGCTGCCCGCTATTGGACTGGCTATTTATACCCTCAAGAATCTGTCCAAAGGTTTGTACTTACTCTGCTCTACTCTATGTCCAATGAATGTGTACACCAATCCTTTAGCAATTTACAAACTATGCCACCACCTCCTACACACAAGAGGAAGTGCAAAACTGCAATTCCAGTTGGGCTTGGCTAGCTACTTCTTCTAGATTTAGCTTTAATTCACCCTTAAAAGCTTTAGCTTCAACAGTCATTTAGAACTTAAGGCAGCAGAGTAAGAAAAAAAGGCTGGGTGGGTATCAATACCAGTACTGGGGTCAAGTCATAGCAATATCAGTATATCAGTATGAGTTTTAGTTCCAGTATCAGTACCACTAATGGGCCTATCATTGGTAATAATAGTATCAGGAGTACAGTAGTATGAACAATCGTAGCAATAATAATCAGCAACAGTAAATTTAGATTTTTCACAGCAACGTACAAATAAGAGGGAGGCCTTTAGAAATAAGTGGCACACACAGGGTTTCAGGTGCATGAAGAAAGAGGCATATAAGAAAAGAGAAGTATCGGTATGGATCATTTCTGTTTCTTTGTTCCAGGTGAGAACAAAATTCCCATGCATGTCATATTCCTCCTGGTCTCTGACATTATCAGTTTCTTCGGCCGTCCCAGTGTGGACCAGGACATGAAAACTGGGCCCTCAAACCCTACCGACTTCATCTTCTATTTTGGTGTTGTCACCAACATCACCCTCATGCTGGTCATAGCTCAGGAGCGCCATCTCGTGGTGGCCTACCCGCAGTGTCTCGGCTGCTGCAGCAGCATCAGGCATTCCCCTGCGGTCACCTTGATGACGTGGGCTGCTCCTTTCGCCATCTTGGCCCTCGCCGTGTTGCACTACAACTTCTGGTTCGCTGTGTCTCTGCTCGCTCCCTTTCCCTTCCTCCTCTTCTTTGCTGTGGATTCCTGGAGGGCCCTGATCTGCTCTCGATCCAACCCTAAAACCCCAGAGAGGAGGAGGTCGGTGTGGGGGATCGGTGCGATCTGGGCCAACTACACCTTCCTCTATGTCCCCTTCATCCTCAGCATCCTCCTGGAGGCTCTGTCCTTTAAGGAAACAGTCACATACCTGGGACTGGTGTCTCACCTGCTGCTCTTCCTCAGCCCTCTGGTGGACCCCTTCCTCTACATATTCATGACCAAAGGGCTCAAAGAGGTGCTGCAGGCGCTGCCCTGCTGCCAAAACCAAAGTCGGAGAGAGAACATGACACCCACTGTGGATACTGTGGCTGAGACCGTGGAGACAAGGCTTTGAGGAGGACATAGTTTGCAAAAAGGACAACCATCAGTCTATTTTGGGACCACACGTACTACTGTTGGATTTTTGTAGCAGATACCAAAACCAAATGTTCTGTCAGAGATACTTGCTGTACATGCTTTTCACACTGCATATTCTTTGCTCAGGGCTGTCCTAAGATGTGTGTGTATGTCCATTGTAACACATGACTAGTGTCTACAATCTAGAGTCACGCGTAATTACTCTTCAACAGATTAAGCAGCAAAAATTTAATGCAAATTCCACAGTTTACTGTGGTGGAAAATAATCTTTTTTTCAACATCCCTGTGAGAAATAACCGTGATGAGAAAACTCTCAAAATGTCGTAAATGTATTTATTGAACACTTAGAATAATCCAGCTGAATGGATAGAGCTCTTTCCCCACAGATGGTTCGTAGGTCTAACAACAGAATAGTTTAATAAAGTATATACACATTATCTTGTCTCCCCCTTCCCCCTTCGCAGACATCCTCCTCCTCCTCTGTCTGCCGAGACATCCGCCAAGGCCAAGGTCCCAGCCTTGGCCTTGTTTTCAGTGGAAGAGGGTTAATTGGTGAGATCAAGATGACACTACAGCAAGCCAGACATGAAAATACCTTCGATATGACAACATTTATTATTTGGGTTTGGATGAGTTTGGATGGCCTCGTCTGCATATGTTCAGTTTTAAGCGATGCAAGTTATTTCTAAAAGAACAACATGATAAATTGCCACAACAATTTCACTTTCACTTTCGTAGTCCTCATCTAAGGGAGGAAAACGGCCCACTGGTAGCTTTTAGCTTACCTCGCATGTTAGCTGGATTCTTGCAATGTCAAATATCACACGAAAATCCATCTGTCAGGCTTCAAGTAATGGCAGCTACGGGCTTGGCTTAAGTGTGTGCGACACGGCGCAGAGAGGCAGCCGCTCGTTCTAAACAATGACGGCTCCTGAAGAGGTTCGCTTAGATGCTACAATATTAAAATGTTATATCAGAGAATGTTTCTTCACTAAAAGAAGAGCAAAGAACACTGAAGGCTTTTCTCTTTGGAGAAGATGTTTTCCCTATTCTCACGACTGGCAAAAGTTTGATGGACAGATTCATCCAATCGTCGGCCGAGTATGATTTGAAATGATCCGGCCTTCTCCAAACAGTTTCCAATGACGGCTCCTCAGCTGGTTCTGTGTAACAAACCATCTGGCTAGTCAGATTAGCTTTTAGAACCGTCTGTAGTTGAATTTCACTGGATAACCCAGCAAACTCAAAGCTAATCCTCCAGAGCAGTGCCAGCAAGCCCCAGGCTAAAGCTGGGCTTAGCCCACTTTGGATCTGCCAATGTGAAAGTGTTTTAGCCCCAGGCTAACCTCTCACTTAGCTTGGGTCTAAGTGCCGTGAAGCCTTTTACATCCAGGAACTGACCATTTACAACCAGAACAGGGAAGGCTCTGCTCTTGATCAACACATACATGAATGTTAAATCGTTAAATTTAACAAAAGCTTAGCACATAAGGAAACGGTTGGTTGGCCGCAAACAACATTGGTATGAGCCATTGATGTATAATAACAACTTGATACTGTCCCCAAGATGGAGTCTGTTCAGTCGAATGAGAGTTGCTCGCTTTGTGCATACACCAAAAAACGTTTTCTAGCTTTCTGGTTTACTTCGGGGGTATGCGGCTCACAGAATATGAACATTAGGGTTTGTCCCACTGGCCGCTGGCTGGAGTCCCAAAATCTGGAAATGAGTTAACATTTTTGCGGTTCCGGTTCCCTGGTCTCAAAAGTCAATGGGCTTTTCAATGGGTTTTTAGTTAGATGCCTGAAATAAGGTCTGTGGTGAACACAAGCTAAAGAGATTTTGGTGTTTTGATCTGCAACATATATGTCAGTAAATACCCCTCTCGTGAATTTTGAAGCTTTCATGTGTCTTAAAAAATACAACAAGCACTAACAAATGGCTAAATTAGACTATAAAATGACATCACGCTGACTAGTCGGCCTTCACAGCCTTGTTGTGTATGCTGGTGCTCATGCGACCGCGGTGTACTCTGTTTATAGACGAACAACTAAACTTGTGTTTCCACAGAACTTGTTTTTCTGCAATATTACAAAAATCCCCATTGGCAAACCAATATTTGCAGCAACTTGTGATAAACTTCTAAATAGATAAAAGTTTAATAATGTAATGATATTATATAATGAGAGTTTCTTAGGATCTCAGGGGGGCTAGAAGAAGACAGGAAACAAAGAAAATAGTGAGCGAAAAATATCTAAACTAAAACATTTCCTCTACAGTAGCTTATAAATACATTATCTTCAATATCTGAATGCATCTTGATGTTTACAAAGCATCTTAACACTTCAAGATGTTGACCTTCATTTCCCCACAAACAGCAGAGATGACAAAATGTTCTATACGTGATAACAGTGGACTCATCTCCGCTGTTTACAGTTGTAAAGGCAGTGAGTGCATAGCTCTGTGTTATGTGGATGAACATAAAACAAAGTCCTTGTTTTGATTGTATCTTCACAGCTAAATGTCAGTTGTGCTCTTTGACTCCAGGAAAACAGCTGGAGACTCCACGAAGTGAGAGGAGACCTCATTTCCTCTGAAATGAAACAAAAACAATGTACAACTTATAATATAATGCCGTCAAACACAATACCTTAAACTGTGACCATTAACAATGACACATCTGTGACTCGTATTAAACAGACAACCTTTCATATACAGACACGTACATAACAGCCAAAGGGGAACCCACTTATTCTGTAGGTAATGCCAAGTTGACTATGGCGTGGCAGGATGTGCTTTGATTTTCAGTTTGAAAATCAGAATCAAAATTAAAATGAAAAATTACCAGCAGATGTCGCCAAAAACATTTTCTAATTTTACACATTGTGGCTTTCATGTATTTGTGGTGGAAAAATCATCTTTTTAACCTCCCTGTGAGAAATGATCAAGATGAGAAAACTCTTAAATATAAAAACGCTAATAATAATTCAGCTGAATGGATAGAGCTCTTTCCCCACGGATGGTTCGGAGGTCTGACAACAATGAATAGACAAAACAGATTAAACACATTATCTCGCCTCCTCTCCCTTCGACCCCCCCCCCCCTTTGCAGATGTCGTCCTCCTCTGTCTGCCGATGCCTCTACCAAGGCGAGGTTCCCAGCCTTGGTGGTGTATGTGGAGGGTGGTGAGATCAGGATGACACTACAGCAAGCCAGACATGCTAAAATACCTTTGATATATGCAGGTTTAAGCGTTACAAGTTATATCTAAAAGAACGATACGATAAATTTCCACAACATTTACCAACCTTGGCTTTTCAACGTCGTCGATTGTCTCCGGCAGCCTCACATTCAGCGTCTCTGGAAGCAGCAGAGCCACCAGGCCAGAAGTGATGGCCACAGAGCAGAGGATGACCTGAGGAAGAGCTGTCCACACGTCCTCCAGCAGCAGGATGAGCGGAGCCACTAACACTCCCAGACGACTCATGAAGTTCGTGTAACCCAAACCGTTTTGCCTGGAGAGACAGAAGGTAAATCATAAGCACCGAATTTATTAATTAGTCCTACATAGTCATTATGTGACCTTCTCTGCGTCTGCAGATAGGAAGTGTTCAGGACTCTTAATTTGCTCTTAAAAAAAAAAAAGATTCCCAAAAAATGCTCCAAATTTTGGTTTAAGACTTTTACTACAGGTAAATAATTCTCCAAATTTCACCCCAATCACGTCAAAACTGAAATAATTGACTCAGATATATTTTTGAGGCTTAAAATTAAGCATAAAAAAAATGTGTCCTGCATTATTGATAATAATAAAGTGATCCGTCTATTGGGTAGCCTTAATTTGACCAAAGTTGTAAAGAGTGGATAAAAAGGGATTAAGTACAACAACAAAAAATAACTAACGGAGCAGCAATCTTATAAAAGGTCAATAACTGGTGAACTTGGTTGAAGTGTTGTACACAACAAAAGATTGTTTTCTACCACTGAAATTACAATCTAAATGAAAAAATAAAAGGATGATTAGAAGTTTTTGCATCTGGGTCTTAACCTAAATATTAAATTACAAAGATTAACTTAAGGGGAAGTCACACCTCTTTTACAACATGTGTTTACACAGTTTTGGCCATTTTTATGCCTCCACACTGGCGACAGCTGTGGCCTCAAGTCCGTTCCTTTCTCATCATATCTGGAGAACGCCATGACTGAGTTTATTCAAATTTAGCACAAAAGTCGACTTGGACTAAAAGACTAACTGATCAGATTTTGGTGGTCAAAGGTCTAGGTCACTGTGTGAACACGTCTTGCCCATTCCCGTAAATGTGATATCTCAGGAACACCAAGAAGGAATTTCTTCAAATTTGTAAAAAAAAAAACACACTTGGACGCAAGGAGGAACTGACAAAATGGTGCAAGTGATGACATTTTGGACTGACGTGCATGTAAACTGAAACTCGACTGGTTGGCGGAGGCGGTAATTTTAGTCCCTATTGATATGATGCGAATGTAAAATACAATCATATGAATGATGAACAGAATCAGGCCTTTGTCAATGCAGCAGCTAAATGCAACTGTATGACAGTAACTGACCTGACAACTGTGGGGTAAAGCTCTGTTGTGTAGAGAAAGGCAGTCGTGAAGGAAGCTTCTGACAGGCCTTTTCCAACGACGGCAACAACAGAACGCACATGCCACAGACCTACACAGAAGTATAGTCGATGCAACATACAGTACAAGATAAGTGTGTAAAACGTTCAACTAACTTTAAACAAAAAGAAGACGGACACTGCTCATACCAATTCACAGTGTTGCATGCAGAAATATTTCTGTATTTCTGTAAAACGTAAAAGGAAATAATGACCTTGTGGTAGAAACAGGTTTATGGCGATGCAGATTCCTGTCAGTAACAGCGTTCCTGCTTGGCACTTCCTCCGTCCAAAGGTATTAATAAAGAAATATATCATCAGCTTGGCAGGGACTTCAATGGCAGCATAGATGAAGTGTGTGAGGTAAATGTTTAAACCAAATCCACTGATGTTGAAGCTGATTCCATAATACGTTGAGGCAACTCCATACCTGCATAATGAACAACAAATCATTGCTTATTATGTTTCCGTAGCTTGATGTGTCTCCTTCCATACGTCTCTATTTCTACTTAAGAGATTCAATTAATAATGTTTCAAGAAATAACCATTAACATTTTTATATCCTTTTCATATCGTGTTTTTCGAGGTAATACCCACCACACAATCCCAGTCAGTAGAGTTAACCGTCTCATCTTCGGGGTCTTGATTAGGTGAAGGTATGTGTAGTTTTTCTCTTGCTTTTCCATGTTGGAGAGTGACTGTACAGAGGCAGAGAAGGGATGTTAAAGGGTAGGTTCACAATTTCTGGTCAAGCAATTCTTACATGCCCATACAAAACTAAAATTTAGTACAATTCCCTGTGTGTGTTTTTGCCAGACAGTGTTTCCTTACTGAGCTGTGACGGAGGGATTGCAGGGAGGGATTTGGTTAACAAAACGCTGAAGAAACATGTCTTCAACTGAACTTTAGAATGTGTTTTGCTGGTTTAGAGGAATGTAGATTTTCTCCATGGACTCTAGCGACACATACGCTGCACCAGTTTTTGTTTTTTTTTTACAAACAGAAACATAATTCATCAGAACAATGTATTTAATCATGTAAAACATATACACATAATACCCTGTATACAAAAGCCATTAAACATCAACCTCGAACTTACCTCCAGTTTTAATTTGGATGACACTTTTTGTCTTTTGTTGAACTTGGCACATTTGTCAAGGTAAAACTGAGCCCTTTCCACTTTCCCATGGGCCAAAAGCCAGCGGGCAGATTCAGGAACCCACCTGCAATTATATTGCAAATAGTTAATAATCAGTGGACACTTGCAATACGACATTACTGAAATAACACTGAAAATGACAACTGGTAGACCCACTGATTTTGGAGAGAATTATCTTTTCACCCTCAGCTCCTTTAAATCAAGATTGAAGACTTTTCTGTTTGCTGCTGCCTTTAATTGAACCACATTCAATTAATATATTAATGAATTTCCAAATACTGCTGATTGAAAACACGAAATTTAGTGATGTTACGTTACGATGTCTGAAAAGTCCTGCCGATAAAAAGTGTAAGCATCATTGAAAGACCTCAGAGAGGCCGGGTTGGAGTCCCAAGACGGGGTTGGAGTCCCACGCTAAATAAGACCTCAGGGAGGCCGGGTTAGAGTCCCGAGACCGGGTTGGAGTCCCGCGTCTAGACGGGGTTAGAGTCCCGCGTCCAATTGTCCGGGTTAGAGTCCCGAGGCGGGGTTGGAGTCCCACACTTAATAAGACCTCAGGGAGGCCGGGTTAGAGTCCCTCAATGTGATAAAACTGTAGTGATAAAACTGTAGTGATAAAACTGTAGTGATACAACTG